CCCCTTTTTTTTAAAAAAAAATTGATGAAGTAGGCCGGTTTTTTTTTTTTTTTTTTTTTTTATCGGAAAAATAGAATATTTCGCCTTTGTTTTTATCGATGAAGGAGGGACTGTTTATATCTGGTCTGTAATAGTAAATATTGTATAAAAACTGGTTTAATTTTATAGAATTTTAAAGAAAATGTATTAATTGACAGGACACTGCGTGTCAATAGATGCACAATATACTGTACATAAAGCTCTGATCTTTTTTAATGTGTTTGTAGTAAACATAATAATAATAGTAGTGTCTTTTTAAAACTATTCTTTTCCCATTTCCATGGGGATACCACAATTACAGTAGTATTGATTTTTCATATAAATTAATCGGAGTATTTGTCCACATGGTTTATCGTTGTCAAATTAACATGCGTTACAAATAATTATTTTACCTCTTCATTCAGGTGTGCTGAATATATCTTTGTTTAACGATTTGAATAAAATCTGTATGTGAGTGTGAATGAGCAGCTTTATTTGCACTCTGACCACAGCATGGATAATTTAATATTTCACACGTTATCAACACTGAATATATTGTGTAACCTTTATACATCCTTTAAACCATACTGCCAAGTTGTGTCTGAATAATATCAGAACACTCCTTTTTCCTGCTATATACCATAAGGACTTTTGGTAGTTTTGCTTGTGAAGTTAATCTTCAAATATCAACATTGGGTTGGAACGTTTAATTCTGTTCAGTTGCCTGGTTGCCACTCCTTCTTGTTTGTTGTTTCTCATAAACAAAAAATAAATTCCAATTCCAAGCTATGAATACAGTATGATACACTATGCAAAGATTGTATAATAATATTTACATTTGAATTGATGGGGAAAATGTTTTATAATGAGATACAGATTTTATAATATTTAAAAACTTGGAAAATGGATTGTAACTACATACACTTTCTTCCACCTTTCAGTATATTACACTATACTGTACAAAGTGAATTTAAATATAACTTATGTTTTATTGTTTAATATGTTATGTTATTAAAAGTGTAAAATATACATAGATTTAAATTACAATTTTAATTTGAAGTACCGTAATTGGATGTTATAAATAACATACAGTTATATTTCTTTTAAAATTAACTACTGTATTAAATTAATAATTATTTTTTAAGTATTATAATTTGAATGTATTGTTTTGGTATATCTAGTAACCTGATACTGTGCTCAACAAAAACAAAGTTATGCTTTAAATTAATGTGATTGGACCATCAGATGTGTTGATAAATGGTGTAGATGAGTGTTTGATAATGCAGTCATCATTATCGACAGCACTGATGCAATGCTAATGAGGTTGGTTAGCTTGTTGAGAGGAGGAAAATTGTTAAAGACCCATCATTTTGATGGGGATATACAGTAATTGATAACATTGACTCTAATAATATTATAGAAATAAAATTAGTGATTGTAATTCAAAATCCAATTATTTGTCCTGCATACCATTAGAAGAAGTATATTGCACAATAACACACATTCACTTTTGTAAAATTAATAAAATTTAATACAGAATTCATGGATTAAAGTTGCAGTGATAAAAATAATTTATATTTGATAAATAAGTAGAGAACATGCTTTATAAATTATCTGTTTAGATAAATATTATTATTTGCAATTATCATTTTTGTTGGTGGAGGAATACTGTATCACTTTTACCAGTACAGTAATTCCTCTGTTACTTTTTTCCTTCTTGCCAAATTATTTTTCACATTTAGTCTCGATCTGTAATGTCATGTTCTTGCCTAAATAAATATCAGTGTACTGTGCTGTATTATAACAGTTCTGCTGTACAGTGTCACAAATAGCTTCTACTATAGGTACAAGTTTCACAGCAAGATGTTTTAGACTTCATGTCTTTTCAGGCTATCTGCCAACCAAACGTTTTATGTTGGGAAGAACGTGATCCAATGTGCATAGTCACATTTCTATTCCCAGCAGTGCCAGTATCCTGCCTAATGACTACTCGTTAGTGGTAAAATCTATTAGTTACCTAAATTAGATGAGTATTAATATAATTATGATAATAAGCTGATCCATTAGATGACAAAAAGTGTTTTAAGTGATTACAATAGACTCCTTGTGTGATATACACCATTTCATCAGGGTTATTTTGAAAATTATCTCCTGATGACGGTCAGAGAAATTTCACCAGAACGTGGTTTCGCCTCAAAAACCATATTACTACACATGGTGTACAGAAAGTTTAATGATTTTTTTATTGACTTATTATTATTTTATATTATTTCTACTATTTGTTTTCATGGGCATAGGCTAGAAGCATCCCGCAACCTCCCCCCCACCCAGTGGTGGCAAATTAGTTCCACTAAAGTGGGTTAAAAATACTAAAGATCACTGTTAAGTTTTCATTGGAATAGGGATTTAGTTTTGCATTCTCAGTTTTTCCAATTCTCCTCCCCACCCCCATATCCCTGGTCAAAACCAGTCTATGCCCCCTGGTATGATTGTATAATTGCTACCATTGTTATAATTTTTTTTAAATCTTTTTTATTGTTCAGGTTTTACATGTGAAGCTGGTAAATACCTGGATATTCAAAATACACAGACCTGTAAAGATTGTCCTGCCGGACAGTATTCCTTGGGCGGAGGCCAGCGCTTTGAAGGATGGAGCAAGATTCCTCATGGCTTTGAGTCGGTATCAGAAAAAATTGACAGCGATTGGGCAACAAGTACATCCAACTGCAGCGAGTAAGTCAATTGAAATATTAATAAGATTTGTATTTACAGTAGATTTGGATTTCTTCAGTGTGATACCAAGAATAACCCACTAAATTCTGAAGACTTACTTCCAGTGGGGTCCCTCTGGTGGTGAATTGGGCAGTATACCGGGAGACATCCCCTACTCTTTTCCAAAGAGTGTACTGCATTCTTTAACATGAACACAAGCCATTTTGCACACTTTTCTAATGGTGAAAATGTTCATCTTTTTTTTTTGTTGTAAAGTAAAATATCTTCTTATGGATTTGTTTTCTCAATCTAACAATCATGAAGTATTGATGTACAGTAGTTTAGTTGTAATTTTATTTTATTTTATTTCTATTTTATTCTGTTTCCAGATGAAGATATTATACAAAACAGAGAAACATTTATATAAAATGGCAAAGTTTAAAAACCTACAGACATATACATAATACTAACAGTACCCTGAGGACTGCCAAAATGTCGGAAGAACACTTTAACATGTCTACAATACTAAGCACTTAAATGTTGGCTCAATTTACATTGTCACATTTCATAAAAACTACAGGTTTACATTGTCGCATTTCACAAAAACTACAGGTTTTGCTTGTTAGCCAAATTTCAGAATTGCCTGCTGTGATTCTATGCTCTTTAAAATGAGACACTGCTTCCTTGCTTTCAATCAGTTTCTTCAAATGTGGCAAAGACAAGTCAAACTAGTCACTCTCCGCAAAATCAAATTGTAGTTCTTAATAGTAGCTTTCAAAAATGTTGACATTCCACCATGTTTTGGCCATTATATCTGAAAACACGATTTGCAATGATTGACTAGTTTGGCTTGTCTTTGCCACAAACGTTATTCATGAATCAGAGCTTAGATTATGATTGAACTTTCTGGTGTTGTTTTAGATCGGCATGGATGCCAAGGGGTGGATTTATTTCCTCTCCCGGTGACGACTGCAAAGTTTCCCTGGTGTTCAGTGCCGAATTGAAAAAGAGTGGCTATGTGAAGTTTGTTTATTCCTACGCTGAGGAGGATACCATATTTCATGTCAGAGTAAGTTTGTTAATATTAATCGCTTTCACTTTTGACAACTACAAAATATATCATTGAGAATGACACATAAAAGTATAATAATAATAATACATAACTACAGCATATAACTACAATTTATACAATTCAATTCAATTCTTTTATTCAATCTATGCAATCAATGGCAGCCGATGCTGAATTGCAGCATTGTATTTACAAACTTTCCTACCAAATATAATACAATTTAAAATACTGTGCAAAAAAATAAGACCGTAATAATAATTACAACTAATTACAGCTAAAAGAAAAACATTTACTAACGAATTTCAAAACAATAAAAATATAGTATTTTGTTTAAAGTGTTTTTTTTTATATTTCATTATTTATCACATCGTTTTAATAGAGACTTTGGGCAAATAAAATTTAGTCTCTTTGATGTTGATGATACATGCTTTGAATTGAGATTAAAAATAATGATTTAACTCATTTCTATATATATATATATATTTTTATCTTTATAAGACTTTGTTTTGTATCCATTAGATAGGATAAAAAACACAAACCTATCCATTTATTTATTCATGATTTTTACCAGATGAATCACAAATTTCAGGGATGTGTTTGTACAATGCCTGAAAGGAATTTTCTGATTTATCGCATACAATTAGATACCTGTGTAGGAGAAATTATCTTTTGTTCTGTCTTCAAACAGATAGTATTAAACAAGCTGTGATATGTAAATCTTTAATATTTACGTATTTTTTTCCTTTAGATTTCCAATGATCAGTGTCAAGAAACAGGTCACGGTATTGACCGCTGGCCTGATGCCACTGGCGAAGGAAAATGGAAAGAAGTGACGGTAAATTTGTATTTTGATTCTTGAACCTTATAAAATACTCCATAGCTATACTGAATGTTAATTATCATACACTATACTCTAAATATATCATTAAGCCTACTGAAGTCTAATGAAGTCCACCATCATACTGGTACATATCAACAATACAATTATATAACAATATTTATTCTTAATATAATTTAGGAGGTGCAATCGCACCGTCTGCACCCCCCATCCCCTGCATCAACCCCAGCAGAGTTATGAACTTGCTCCCATATAGGAAATTTATTTGTTTTTTATGGCTTCACACATGTACATGCGACAAATTTTATTTCTCTTTCAAACATCATTTTCAGCTTTAAAATTCAACATAGTGCTTGATTGTTTTATTGAATGATCAATATATATAATAAACAAGTATCTATGGAAGTTGTGTTGGAATAAAATCCACAATCTAGGTATTTAAGAAGGTAAAAATGTCCGATAAAAACAAATTTGTGCAGGGCCTAGAGTGGGATCAGAGTGCTTAGAAGCTGCCAACTGTAGGCCTAGGCCCCCTCAGACTTAGCTGCGTAAGCCTGTTGGCCTAGCCTAGGCCTAGTTTATGCCAGTGTAAGTAGTACCAGTGCAAATATATAGGAATTTGGGTCAACCCCGATTTTACAAATACCCAAATTTACGAACGGCTCTGGGCCCGTGCTGTACGTAAATGAGGGGTTCTACTGTACCTCTTTGTAATGTTTCCCTATTATACTCTACTTCTACTAAATAATGTTACTCATATTCATCATAAATATTCCAAGTCGACCCAAATGTTACACTAAATACTCTAGCACTACCCATTATTGTTAATATGCTTTGTTTTTTGTTTTTTTTTGTTTTTTTTTTATTAGATCGATCTCAGCATGGGAATGAACGTAATTTCATGGAAGGCCATTGGAATGAACTTTGAGGACAATACCAAAACATCACCAATTCGCATTAAGTCTATTGAGATCATGGGCTTAAGTTACACATCTCAGTGTACTAACTGCCCTAGTGGCACCTACTCAGCCCAGGCAGGATCTACTGAGTGAGTACTTTACCTACACTCCCTTGCCTTTCATTCTCATTTTCTAATCAGCTTGGGTAACACTGAAATGTTTAGGACTTTTATCACCATCATCCTCGGCATTGTCTTCAGCACTCTTAATCATCGTCATTATTATTATCACTATTATCATCATCGTCATCAATATCATCATCATATTTATTATTATCATTCATTTTATTTTATTCATTCTGGCAAAAACAATATAAAAACATTACAGATACAAAAAATCAGCAATTCACAAACATACAAAATAAAGGTAAGCCAGGGAGCAACAAAAGCAAAACCACTGTCATCTATAGAGATTCAGCTGTGGAAAGCCTTCTACTAGGTTGATCATGTGACGTATTGCGGGTATCAGTTGTAAACACGCAGTGCAAAAGAAGGAAAATGTGTAGCTTTTTCGGAGTGTTTCTGGTGAAAGCACATTTGGTGTTAAATAATGTTGGTTGGATTGACAGTAACTATGTAAAATTGATTGGAAATTTGACAGTTTGCAGTAATTGTTTGCTAATGCTCCAAAAGATACTGGCCCCAAACATTGAGATTTTTCGAGAAATGCTAGGACCTAGGCCTCTGCATATGTACGGCCTGTTGAGGTATGCACGAGAGTTCATTAACTCCCTATATAGTTTTAATAATTATCAAATTTTTATATGTATGCAATCATTTACATTTTCAGGTGTGAGATGTGCAAGGCAAACAGTTATTCTGGACCGAAGGCAACTGCATGTACCCCATGTCCTGACACCCACTACTCGAATGCTGGGTCTGGTAACTGTACCGTTAGAAAAGCATGCACAGCGAATGATTACTTTGAGAGTAAAACACCTTGTAATAATAATAGCAAGGTAAACCCTTTAGTTATATATTAATTAATTTGAATTTTATATGGTGTTATACAGTAATATACAAATATTGACTGCTCATGAGGGGAATGGTGAAATCTATTGCCCTGTGGAGACCGTAGTCTACTATCTTCCGGAGGGCTGAATCCCTGATGGAAGATAGTAGGCTATGGTCTCCATATAGATATCCCCATTCCTTGAATCCAGAGCAGTCAATATTTGTTTTTATCTCCTCATCATACATAGATTCTACAAGGCCTAAAAAAAAGTAATGAAAAGAGTACCCACAAAGTAGGCCTAGGCTTACTTGTAGGCCAAAGCAGTCAAATGGCCAGTCTCTTTCAGTGTCCTAGAGGTCGCGTTCCCTTTATTAGCCCTGCGTGTCATAAATTACATAGCAACGTTATAAGTGAGGACTAGAGATTACAATCGCGACAGGACAAAAAAGACTTATTTAAGGTGATGGTACTTTCTCCCCGGGAATTTATGAACTATCATTCAACCTACATTATAGTGTGATGTTTGAAGTTATTACCCACTTTTTAACCAATCAGATGCCTAGACTCTGTTTATGCCGTATATAATATTGAAATAGTATACAAGTTCATACTGTCAAATTTTATTATGTGACAAATTTGTGTGATGTGCCCATATTTGCATGGTGATGTCACATTACACCCAAATATGGGCATATCACATTTATTTGACACATAAAATTGGGTAATTTGATTAGTTTGATCTGCCATTTGGAATACCCTATAATAAACAAATCGATTCTAACAGTAACTTGTGCTCTTGTGTCATGCACGCACTGCACCGAAGGTCGTCAGAAAATCGGCTGTCCGATGGAAAAACAATGTAACTGTTTTAATATCTTTGTTAAGTCATGTTTTTTTGCCTTGGAAGGCCGCAGTGTGGTGTCAATTTTAGTCGCAATGTTGTTTTCAAATTTAAAGAAAAGCTGAGAATAGACAGCGCTAAGATACTGGATGTCATGAGACCTGCCAAATAGCAGAGCACCAATGAATGAATGAATGAAAGAATCAGTCTTCCACTGACAATCAGCAAACGGCATCATGTCGTCAAGCGCACAGAGAAAGCGAAGAGGGACATCAGCATGATGCATTGTGTGCTCGACCTTACATCGTACGATGCAGTGTGTGCTCAGCCTTACATAACAATTCCACTGTACATTTTATCAAATATTAACTGTACACCATGAATAACACAAATTTTTTATCAACATTTTAATGATTTTACAATATATTTTGTTAAAATTAAATTTGTAGACAAAAAAGGTTTATAAATGGATTCAACCCAAGATATGTAGAAGTGACATCACAGGAGCAACTCAACTCCCACCAGAGAGTGGAGAACTTGATTGTCCCCCATGTAATCCCGGAATGTCCTTCGTCAACAGCTCCTCATGCCAGTACTGCCCTAAGAACTACTTTTCCAACGGAATCAATCGTAAGTAATCGGTTTAAGAAAAGGAATGTACTTTAATTATCAGTTTTTTTTTCAGTTTGTTGAATATTTTTATATAATTATTTTATTTATTTTACCGTAATGTTTTTGTAGCCTGCCAAAAATGTGAGGGGTCGACAGCACCGGAATATGGTATGTCCTTCACTTCGTGGAACTATCTACCACCAAATATGGATGCTGTGTGTCTGAGCATGTCCGGTAAGATTCAGTACATAATAATTGGTTAATTTTTATCACCAGCATTTACAATTTTGCAGTGTATGAGTGTACTAATTTATGTCAAATTAAGATAGTCAGATAATTTTAGTATTTCATGTTCTTAGAATATCTCTCTATATTGTTGTGTATCAGCGAGTATAATGCATTGCTCCAAGTGTCGAAATACACGCCATCGTTTTGGGATTCAGTATTTACAGTAATTATGTCATGATCAGGCATGTATTTCAGTACTTGAAGTATGTATTATAGTTTCTTATCTGAGATTAATCAGTGAACACTTCAGTTGTTTATTAATTGTTCATTATTGAAGAGAGGTAGTAAGAGAGGTAGGGTTTGCCTCGTGGAAGACATGACTATATCCTGTCTTGCAGTGAAGTGGTTCATACTTTGTTTTAATCTTAGGTACAAATAACTTATTATGGGGTTGGAAGCAATTTTTCATTGTTTTTTTGAGATAGACTGACCGCATGATAATCACCTCTGCCTGGCTTTGTGATTCCGACGACCAGATTTTTTTTTTTCAGCAACTTAATTTCTCTTTATTGTATATTAATTCTATGATTGATGGATTTTATTTAGGTCATGGTTGTGCTACGGATAAAGGTTGGGTTCTCTCCGGCAACCATATTCATAGCGGACAGGGTCATTCTGATGACGTTTATCTTGTTCTTAGTGTGGATACTGACGGTTTCCGTTCAAAAGAGGGTTACTTTAATGGCCACGCCATCGAAGTCGGCACGGTGAAGTTTGAATTCGAATTGCAATGCATTGGAGATTGTCTTTTATTCTTCCTTGTGGAAGATGGAAAATCAAACGTTATTGAATCTTGGGAAGGGCATCAGAATCGAACAACATTTGTGTAAGTAATATCCCTCCAATATCTTGTTAAGCTTCGTTTCAGTACAATCGCTACACGCTCGCGCTGACACCTTTTGGTGGTGCTGATTGATAGGTCTAATC